ATGCTCACCACAAGTATCACATATAGCCTTATCATCACCCTGCGGCCCTGGACTAAAGTAGCACCATACCAAACTTCTTTTTTTGATACCGGTATTTGGAGGAGAGTTTATAGAAGCGGCTGAAGTGCTAACAGCACTGACAGTGATAGAAGAACAAGATGCCATGTGCATGTGTACTTGAGTAATGGGTGTGGTGACCACACATGTAGGTGTGGTCACATATCATATCGATTTTGCATGCTTTTAAAATTCAATTCCGATACTGTATCGATACGCTCAAAATCGATACTATCGATCTGAGAAACGAAATATCGCCCATCACTATTCTACGGCGTGATGAAGCAGGGGGTATATGCATAGTAGGACACTCTCTTCTATTATTATCTACTCTTGGTATCATCATACCTTATCTACAAAGTTTAAATTGATCACACTCCTCAATTTTTATCAAAAGGTTACAAGGTTACTAAAAAGGTTATAAGATACTGAACATATTTTTGACTTACAACAATTTTGCGTTTTCATTCAGAATCTCGTTATATATATGTCACAAAACTTATGCTAGATCTGTATTAACAAAATTAAATAGACCTTTACTATTACAATGCACACTGTAATGCAATTTTTAAAGGATCGATACTCATTATGATTAATGCAAAATCCAATCAAATAGTAATTTCATATTTATTTTTGAAAGTGATGTGTATATTTTAAGAATACTCATGCAATTCCTATTTATATTTTTCAACATATTCAATCTAAAGGCCTTTTCACACTGGCACAAGTAATGCACATTGATGCACATTTAATTGATGTGAAGTGATGCGCTTCGATCAATGTAAACCAATGGCAACAAGAGCACAAAATGATACATAATTCAGCTGCTAGTGTGAACACGATCAATGCGCATTATTTCAGCTGTATCAACAAAGCGCATCAAAGTGCTTTGAAAACTGTGCCAGTGTGAAAAGGCCTGTAGATTGTACAGTATAAAATTTATACATGTACTCAACAGTGTTTTGTCAATACATATACAATGTACAGTACTTTTTGAACTTTTAATTAAAAAAGATACCCACATGATTCTTTCTTCTTTATATTATATTAGGGTTGCCAGCGTAACATGGAGGACTGGCAGAGAATACTTCAAGTTCGATCCCTAGTCCTGACACAGCAAGAAGAGCTAAAGAGTTGGATCAAGTTTGCATCAATTTGTCGTAAGAGTGGTAAACTGGTCCTCTCAGAGAGGACACTGATCACACTCCTCAGCAACGACCAGTCCTTCAACATTGATGCTGATCCTCTCTCTGTTAAATTCCCTCAGGTTTGCCTTGAAAATTTAGCAGTGAAAAAATTAATAATGTACATGTACATGTATATGCATGTAACATTTACATGTGCTTATAATAATTATTTGTTTATGTCGTTTATGTACAGTACATGTACGTAACTGCATGTACTTATACATATGTACATTTACATGTACATGTATTTATTTTGTACCATTATTAATTACATGTATTATGATTATGATATGTAGGTGACTTTGGCATACATGAAGCACAAGTGGCACGCTGATCAAAAACAGGAAGCATTTCGTTTGCTTGACCAGTTTGTGGTTCGTCTTCAAAGTGATAACATCGATCCTTCTGCCTCTAATGAAACCAACCAACTTTTAGCAAGGTAACTAATACATATATGCAAGTACATGTACATGTACATTTATATCTACATGCATATGTACAGTACATTTAGTGTGCATAATTATTTTTGAAATAGAATTATTGATTTTTATCAATGGTTGTTTTTTATTGAATAATAATAGTATTGTTTTTCTTTCTTCTTGCTTATTATTATTTTATAAAATAGTTTTTTTACACATCTGTGTACATGTACTATTAACATGTCTTTTTAAATTACACATGTACATGTACACAAGTACAATTATATACATGACACACATACACTGTATTGTTTAGATTTTGTTATTTTACTAGTACAATTATCATAAATATTTTGATATACAGTGTATTCTATCATAAACATTATCATCAATATTCACACCCTCTCTCTCCCTCCCTCTCTCTCTCTCTCTCTCTCTCTCCCTCCTTCTCTCTCTTCCCCCTCTCTCTCCCTCTCTCTTGTCAGGTGTTATTTAAAGCTAGGTGACTGGAAAGCTGAACTAAACCCAGACTCATCCTCTCTCACCACTTCCTTCAGTTCCATACTCCATTATTATGAACTAGCAACAAAGTTTGATCGCCAGTGGTACAAGGCCTGGCATGCCTGGGCATTCATGAACTTCCAAGCTTTACTCCATCAAAGACAAGAGCAGCAAAAGCTTCAAAAGACTAACGTTATCTTAAGCGAAGACTCTACCTCCAGTGAATCCACTAATAAGATTGGACCAGTAGATATGACGGCCTCCATACAGTATTCCAGTAGTGCAGTTCATGGCTTCTTTAGGTCTATATCTCTTTCTTCTGGTAACTCACTCCAGGACACTCTAAGGTATGTTCCACTATGTTTTATTGTATTGTATTGTAGTTCTATTCTATTGTACATGTACAGTATGTTCTACCATTATGCCTACTATTATACATGTAATGTATCAGTCAAATTGCTTCCTACCGTTTGACTGCTTAATTTTGAGGGCATAATTTTCACTGTTTTCATGGAAATTTCAGTATCTTCACAAGTGCACATGTACTTTAATAAAATGGCTCTCTTTAGTGTTGCTTCATAGAATGTGTGAAGCACGGAAATAAATTTGCAAAAAAGATTTATGGCCTGATTTGCTTATGTTTTTTGCTTCAAAACTTTGTTGTGGCTATACAGTAATTAACTCACATGCTGTACATGTACTTACTAAGGAAATTGATAAGTCAATTACCAGAAGGTTAATAAGTTACTTATTAACCTCCTAGACAATTAACTTATTACACCATTCAGACTGCTTGATGATTCATAAATACATGTACATGTAACTTACATGCTGTACATATACTTGCTAAGGAAATCGATAACCAATTGTTAGGTGGTTAATAAGTTACTTACACGTACTAAGCTCTAGGACAAACTTATTACAGTGACAATTTGCTGGCATTCTATCACCTCTTAATGAACTTGAAAGAAATAGAATTTGAATAACAACTACTCGTCCATTCCATGTTTGTGTACGTTACACCTCATTTAATATGAAACTGAACAATGGTTACACGTGCAAGACTATACACTCAATATGTAACATTTTCCTTGACTTATTTTCTGCCAATTTTTTGTGCCAAAATAGCTCTTTGTTTAGGCTAGAAAATACATTATTTTTAAGCTAGAAAATAAAATATTCATTAATTAAACTATATTGTCATTTTTTGAGTTATTTTCTGCCAATTTCTTGTGGCAAAAAATAGCAAAAATTGCTCTCTGTTTAGGCTGAAAAAATACTTTTAATATTATATTATTATTTTTTTAATTATTATTTTTTGACACCAACAGGCTACTGACTTTGTGGTTTGACTATGGTCACATCTCTGAGGTTCATGAAGCTCTTGAGGAAGGAATCAAAACAGTGGATATTGAAAACTGGCTCCAGGTTTGTTGTCTCTTCGTTATGTACATGTACACATGTATTTGTATAAACATGGTCATGTTTGCAATTATGCAAGAACAAACTGTGTAGCTGTATTTGTTTCTAGTTACACTAATTTAAGCTAGGGACCTTATTTAATGCTAAATTAGCTAATGTAGTTCACAAATTACTAATAATTGCTACATTAAGGGAAAATACTATATAAAAGTAGAGCCTAGTCTCTAATGTGTCAAAAATGCTAAAATTAAGTGCTACATCTTTTTATATTTTACTTTACCCATTTTGGTCAGCACTAGGTAGTGTGTTACACATGTTTACGCACATGTACATGTAATTCTATTGGTATACACATGTAGTGTATGTACATGAATTAATGTACTAATTCCTGTAGGTCATTCCCCAGTTGATAGCTCGTATAGACTCACCTCGTAGACTGGTCTCCAAACTTATTCATGAGCTACTCACTGACGTAGGACGACACCATCCTCAGGTCAGTGTACATTTACATGTACATGTACATGTAAATGTACATGTACATGTACATATACATGTAGTGTACATGTAGCGTACATGTACATGTACATGTACATGTACACTACATGTATATGTACATGTACATGTGCTGTTGTTTAGTATTTTTTAAAAGTAATTTTTTAGTAAATTTGTAAGACTTAACTTTTCTGACAGTAATGTACATGTAATTATAAAAGTTAAATAAAAGCTAATATAAATTAATTATTATCAAAAGGTGTTTTGAATGTATTGTATTTTCTTTTTATTTTGTAGGCTTTAATCTACCCATTGACAGTAGCTGCTAAGAGCCAGAGCACTGTTAGACGTGATGCAGCTGATATGATTCTGAGTAACATGCGTGAGCACAGTTCTGATCTGGTTCAGCAAGCAGTGATGGTATCAGAGGAGCTGATAAGAGTGGCTATACTCTGGCATGAGCAGTGGCACGAGACATTAGAGGATGCCTCAAGGTATTGAAATAATAATGTATGTACATGTACATGTACATACATGTATGTGGAATAATCAATTAGTGTAGGGAATTTGGTCCAATTTTTTAGCAACTTCAAAATTTGTACAAATTTTATCGGAATCAGCTCCAACTTTCTAGACAGCATAAAAACATGTATATGTATCAGGAAAAATTATAAAAATGGAGAATTCCTTACATTGCATTTTTGACGAAATTTGGCCAAAATCACTGTACTATAGTACAGGGACTTTTACCTAATTTTGGAGCAACTTCAAAAATTTGTAAAAAATCTAATTTTGATCAAAATCAGTTCAAACTCTCTACACAACATAAGAACATGTATATGTATCAGAAAGAATTATAAAAATGGAAAATTCTCTCCTTTTCATTTTTGACAAAATTTTGCCAAAATCACTGTACTATAGTACAGGGACTTTTACCCGATTTTGGAGCAACTTCAAAAATTTGTAAAAAAACTTAATTTTGATCGGAATCATTTCAAACTTTCTATACTACATACGAACGTGTATATGTATCTTATAAAATTATAAAAATAGAAAATTCTCTACTTTTCAATTTTGACGAAATTTAGCAAATAAACAGCAGCCACTACAAGTACATGTACTTGCTTGCTAGAAGCCTATCATCTCAAATACTGTGGAAACTCTTCATTTTATCATAACATGATTGTTGAAAGTGGATGACATTTGTATCACTTGTAGGATGTACTTTGGTGAGCACAATGTTCAAGGAATGTTCAAGGTCCTAGACCCACTTCATCAGAAGTTGGACAAAGGCCCAGAGACACTTAAAGAAATCTCCTTTAATCACGTGAGTCTGTTTTTATTGTGTCTTTACTGAACAATAAACTGGGGGCAGTAGTACTTGAACTATAATAATAATAAACACATACATTGTAATGGAATGATACAAGTTTTTATAAAGTTGCTTCTCTGTGCATGTACATGTATGTATGGTAATATACAGTGTACATGTAATTTAAGTTGTTTTAAAGCAGAAAAAGAATTGTAGGCATGTATTATGTGTACAGTGTATGCTAAATACTGTATACTATATAATATACATGTATTAATATACTTGTCAATTATTTTAAATCAGGCACACATACTGTACATGTACATGTATACTGTATATACATGTACATGTATGTATTAAAATTTATTACTTGTAAAAATACAGTGTATGCATGTGCATTTTATGTCCTACATGTACATGTACTGTATGTACATGTGTACATACTTGTAAAGTGTATATCACTGTTATATAATTGGTGTATTTGTTTAGGCTTATGGTCGGGATTTGGCAGAGGCCTCAGAGTGGTGCAAGAAGTTCCAGACCAGTAGCAATGTGAAAGACCTCACTCAGGCCTGGGAGCTCTATTATCATGTCTTTAGACGAATCTCTAAGCAACTGCCACAGGTAAGCCACTACTGTTTACTCAATAGTGTGTCTTAGTATTATAATACTGAAGAAATTATCCACTCTTACCTCAGCCAAGTAATTACAACTGCTAATGAAAAGATTCGTGACTTGATATTTCTCTACCACAAAAACTTTAATAGCAAATGGAGAACTACGTGTACAGTACATGTACATGTACATGTAGATCTACGCCACAAAAAAGTTAATGTTATACATAATGACGGATGTAGAATGTACTTTTGTTTGCTTGTAAGGTAACAGTTGGTAATAAAAATAAAACTTGAAACTGTAAATTATTCAATAAGTGTATTGTGAAACGTAAATGTACATGTTACAGGCTTACAGTTATATCATACTAATATGTACATGTACATGCATGTAAGCATAATGTGAAGATAATAATTATTTTTATACATAAATTTTCTTATTTCTTAGCTTACCACGTTGGAGTTACAGTATGTGTCTCCTAAACTGTTGGCATGTAAAGACTTGGAATTAGCCATTCCTGGAAGCTATGAGCCACACTGTCCCATCATTCACATCAAGAGTGTCTCCTCATCTCTCAATGTCATCACTTCTAAGCAGAGACCAAGGAAACTTGTAATGGAAGGTAATGTACATATACATGTACATTGTATAACTCTTATGAAAAAAACATGTACATGTACACGTGCATGTACATGTACATGTACACATACATCTATATTAAGTTTTAATAATGGAAAGAACATATGTGCTGTACATGTACACGTACATCTATATTAAGTCTTAATAATTAAAAGAACATATGTGCTATACATGTACATGTACATGTATAGGCATTGCTAGATCTAGAACCAAATTTTGTGAGACCAATCTAAGTAAATATGACAGACTAAAAGCTAAAACATGTGATATTTCAGGAGGCCTAGACCAAATATGGGAAGACCAAAAGTCTCCTAAACTCCTCTAGATCCAACAGCCAGTGCATGTACATGTAGGTACATGTACATGTATAAGTATGTAATTTGTGGTTTTGGTAAATTGTACACATAACTTGATCTACTTAAGAAATGTATACCATTTACTATGAGTGAAGGTTCCTCAAGAATGTAACAGTCAATGACAAACAGTTTATTAATAACATCAACAGCATAATAATAAACAAAACAATATTAATAATAAACAATGATAATAAACACGGCAGTATATTTGCAATGTTTCTTTTATTATTTATAATAATAACACAGCACTATATTTACAATGTTTCATGTATTTGTGATTTATTTTGTGTAGGGAGTGATGGTCGGAGTTACATGTTCTTATTGAAAGGTCATGAGGATCTCCGTCAGGATGAGAGGGTAATGCAGCTCTTTGGTCTGGTCAACACACTACTGGACAATGACCCAGAGACTTTTAAAAGACACTTGAGGTAAGAACTATCATATACTATATAGAAGGAAATTTCAGGGGGGGTAGCTAAATGTGGCGAATTCGGCATTTTGATAGCCATTCGCCAAAATAAAAATCCACCATTTTGAGACATTATATGCATGCTCAATGGCATGTGGCCACAAATTTGCCAAATTAAAATTCGCCAATCACCAAACTTTAGCAATTCACCAAATTTAACTACCTCCAAAATTTCCTGCTATACGGTATATGATATAAATAAATGATAAAATAAATAATGTATGCTTCATAAATAAGGCATATATTATGTCTCTTACACACTGTGATTGGATGTACATGTACTGTATCTGTATCTCTATCATAGATATCAAGAGAAATCCCACATGCATGTACATGTACATGTACCTTTAAGATTCCCCCTCCCTGAAATACATGTACATGTAGTCTGGACAAATTTAATAAAAAGGCTAAGTGTATATTTACTGGAATTTACACAAATGTAGTTAACTTCAGTACACATTAAGTCCCTAATTCATTGTTAAATTTAATTTTATCAAGTGCACCAATTTAATCGTCTTTTACTTGATTAGCATGTTCTTTCTTAGAATAATTCCTGGCCCTTATATTTATTCTGATATTTAATGACTATGTGTATTATTTTAGGATTCAGAGATATTCAGTAATCCCTCTCTCTCCTAATTCTGGTCTGATTGGTTGGGTTCCTCACTGTGACACTATCCATGCTCTGATAAGAGACTATAGAGACAAGAAGAAGATTATGCTCAACATTGAGCATCGCCTAATGCTACAAGTTAGTGTCAACTACCACACTAAGGCTAAGTTTAAATTAGATGAAACAGTCGAAAAGTGCATGGTGCAAAAAATGCTTTGAAGTTGATGGCAAGATTGGCCAAATTATAATGTTGCGTTTTATGGCAAGTTTAAACAATGCTTTGTTACAATGCTTTCCAAATTATTGAAAATTAAACAAGCTATCCTTATCCTACATGTGCAGTATCCAAACTATTAATGCATTTTGCTGGTCTTCTGTGTACTCTGAAAGTTAGCTGTGTTGGTATACTTTCATGTGGTTATTGTATGGTGTTTATATTATTAATTTATTGGGTTCTTTTTCTATAGACATCATCTGATTATGATCATCTCATGTTAATGCAGAAAGTTGAAGTCTTTGAACAAGCCATTAACAGTACTACTGGTGACGATTTGGCTAAAGTATTGTGGCTCAAGAGCCCCAGCTCTGAAGTATGTCACTTTACCTCAATCAGTATAATACGAATAATATTACATGTACATGTATGCATGTACATGTACATGTACATGTATATTACATTTACCATTAAGGTTTTAAGCAAAACTAAACTAAACTAAACTAAACGGAAGATCCATTACAAAAAAACTAACTAAACTATAGAGATTCAAATTCTTAGCCTAAGACTAAAAATTATAAATTTTATTATTCTTCTTTGCTAATGTACACTTGTAGGTTTGGTTTGATAGACGTACCAATTACACACGCTCACTGGCTGTAATGTCAATGGTTGGCTATGTACTGGGACTGGGTGACAGGTCAGTCTATCATGTACACACATACAATCTACTTGTATTCATGTGCTTGTGTATTAATGAATATACATGTACATTTGTGGTATCATCACAAAGATTTTAGCATTACACATATATGTTTAAGTAATCTCTGATCTAATGTTTGTGTTAATTTTACTTGCTCTATGTGTACTTGTAGATGTACTTGTGTAGGCTGTGTACATGTGTGTCATTCATCAGTTGTTATTAATTTAAGTATAATTTATGGTTGTAATATTCTTTGTGTCATTACTATAGGCATCCCAGTAATCTTATGCTGGACAGATTGACTGGTCGGATATTACACATTGATTTTGGTGACTGCTTTGAGGTGGCTATGACGAGAGAGAAATTCCCAGAGAAGATACCTTTTAGATTAACCAGAATGCTTACCAATGCAATGGAGGTCAGTAATTTATATTCACTGTCTGTTAGATCTAGAGGGAGTTTAGGAGGCTTTTGGTCTCCCATAATTGGTCTAAGCCCCTGAAATCTCCCATTCTTTTAGCCTTTATGTCTTTCATATTTAGCCCTAGGTGTCCTTAAGTTTCCCATTTTTAGTTAGATTGATCTCTCAAAAGTTATTTTTAGATCTTAAAACATGTACATTATGTGTATACATTGTGTGCATGTACAATTACGTTATGTGTACATGTGTACATGTAGGTGACTGGAATAGAGGGTAACTTCAGGCGGACCTGTTGCTCAGTGATGAGGGTCCTTAGGGATAACAAGGACAGTGTCATGGCCGTCCTGGAAGCTTTTGTCTACGATCCTCTGCTTAACTGGAGACTCATGGATGGTATGATTTATGTACTGTACATGTA